TTCACAATGATTTGGAGTATTTCTTAATTCACTCCACATGCGGTGATGACAGAAGCGAGACGGCAAACACTCATCAAGGGTCTGATCACCATCCTTTCACTCACTCATTACATTCTGACCTAGAGTGTAGTAGGTAACTGCCCTTAGTGGTATGGTAAAGCGAAAACTGCAACCTGGCAGTGTCTTCTGACCTGAGGGTTAGTTCATTCCTGCTCCGGAGATAAATACTGAAGAGTGCTCTAGTAAGGTGTCTTTGGACAGAACGCTGAACCCTCCTCGATCCAATTATGTTTGCAGTTGGATGGTTTATGAATGTGAATGTGAGAGGTACGTTATTGTAAAGCATTTGTGAAGCATTTGTGTGCCTAGAAGGGGGGAAAAGCACAGTTTTAAACATGGCACTGTTCAATGATAGTTTGACTCTTGTTTTTACCATAGTGGGGCCCAAATAAGACCATTGTAATTCTGTCTCCACAATACAGCTCTGGATAATCACTATCATACTCAGAATTTATTGAGATGGGGGAATGGCTTTTGTCTGAGTTTTTATATTGGCTTAGGGATGTGAGCAAGTCTGGACTCTTGGGTCCGTCCTTCACTGTGGTTCTCCCGAGGATTAGCTTATTCCCCACTGTTTTTTGTTTTGTTTTGCCTTGCAGATGAAGGAGGGGCAGAGGACAGGATGCTCCAGAACATTTATCCACATGTGATTCATTCTTGTGAACATTGGCTAATCTGTTTGTTGTTGTTTAAATAAGTTGTATTCTAATCTATTGACACATCAACCATTTCAGCTGTTGTTCTTTAATATCTTTGCCCCAAACAAACCTTCAATAGCAGGAGTGCAGACAGCTAATTTCCAGGGAATTATTCATTTAAAAGTATAAGGAAGGTATCTGTGTCACTCGTCTCGTGGCGGAGAAACCGCAGTGGGTCCTTGGCTGCCGTAGTTTTGACAGACAAGGTCAGAGCCTGTGTTGCTAGGTTTTCCCACACATTGATAATTGTCAGAGCAGTCAGCTGAGGCCACCAGTCATCCATGGAGCGAGACAAAGCCAAGGATGGGGAGAATTCTGACTAGAAGAGCTGACAGCCTACATGCACACATTTCATCCATGAGAGGAGCTTGCATGAGAGGCTAAAGTCACCTCTGTTGATTCATGCTTCTCCAAAGAAACTCATGCAAATATTTAATCACAAAGGTTTTTCTCTATGGGTCACAGCTCTTTTGACAGGGGCAGCTCAACTTACATAATTAATGCATTATGTTTTGTTATGGTTCCCAATGAGCAGTAGTGCATTTAATTATTGTTCATAATATTGCTGCTATAATCCTTAATACATAGAAGAAGGACTGAATACCTTGTCTTTGATTGTGACTGACAAATTTCAATAATAGTGCCTTATGGGAATATGGCCAAGAGCCTCACAGTTTATATCCCGATAGAGCGGCCATCATCTTACATGTTAAAGTGTGCGAAGTGAATTTCATGAACAAAAGTCCATAACATCGCATGGCGCCGTAAAGATGGCGCCGTGGCAAGAGCTCTGGTGTGTGTCGTCTGGTGCACACCGGGGTAGTCTTGCACAGTTTTTCCTATGTGGTTTTACTGCAAATGGCAAATAAATGAATCTGAATCTGAATCTGAATCTAACAATAATGTGTATAATGCATTCATCAGAACTCTAAGATAATTTCACTGCTCTTCAGATTCAGCCAATCCAATTGTCAGCAGACTGTTTAAGGTTTAGGTAAGTTTAAAACTTTAGGTATTGCAATCACAATATACAATCTTACGGTCAAGAAGTTTGTGAATCCTAACAATACCATTATTTTAAAGCTACAATACCCTACTTTCAAACCACCAAACATGTAACTATGTATAAATTCCATCCAGTTTCTCGCTCTCCAAACGGTCATCAGTAGTTTTCAAACACATGTATTTTTGGCCTCGGTCATATCTTTTAGAGAAGACTGTGTTGTGGCCTGTTTTTCGACAAAATATTACTTATACAGGACAAGTTATATGTATTATTTAGGTAATTGGGTATTCCAGCTTTAAATACTTAACTGGAAAAAATGTAGTCATGGGGTATAGTAGTATCAATACAGCAGATAGATTGAAAAAATAATGTATTCCACAATGATTGTCTGCCTATTTTAGTAGCTTTTCAATATAGTTGTGGGGATTTGTCTCTCACACCACACAGAGATGGGAGCGAGGTCGTCATACAGGAGGCACATGCCAGACCTTTTACACATGTTTGTAGTCCTTTTATAATTGATAAATTGGCAGCTCATTCAGTAGCACCCTGCAATACCCATATCAGTCATGTGGTGGCACCATTTCCTCTTGTTGATGCACAGGTTAAGAGTCTCTCACTTTCACACAACTCCCTCAAATAAAATGTTGGCTCATCTGTTCACAATATTTTATTCCCAAGATTGACTGAACCTAAAACAGTAACTCGATTTGAAATGACGGACAGAAAATCAATTTAGTTTTCAATTGGGACTTGTTTTATTCAGTACAAGGAGCAGTCTGGGCCTTCCCCTACACACCCTGCTGCTAATTCATTTGTGGACGTCATCTTCTTGAGAGAAAAGCTGCAGAAATATCCCTCATGTCTGGGTTGTAAGAGTTTAGTCATCCTGTCTGCTCCGCTTCAGCCCATGGGATGAGTTTGGCCCAAAACATAGCTTTTAGTGTGCAATGTTTTCCCTCATACCGAATGTCGACCACTATGCCTTTTCTCTCACAACCAATTGTCTTTTTTAGATGTTTTTTTAGCTTAATTCAATATTTTAATGTAATTGTGTGGGTGGTCCCGGTCCAACTTGTCTGAGTTCACATGAGATTCATTTAGCCCTGTGCAGCTTTTTGCACTCATGTGTAAACCATAATCAGGCAAGCTGCAAAGATGTAATGGCGACCTCAGCAGCGCCGATGTTTCAGCTCCTCATGTCCCTCGTAGCTTATTGTCACTGACACAATGACATAGTGCTCAAGGAATTCACTCTCAGGCCCAAGATTGTAAAGCACTCTTAAGTTGTAGAGCAGAGGCACTGTGTAAAGCAAGAGTGGATTACAGGAGGTTTCTTTGGGTCTATTACTGCTCTGGCATAATACCGTATTAAGCCTTATTTATGGTGTTTATTCTGGAGCGATTTGGTGCATTGGCCTCCTGCTCACTCGCCTGAAACTAGCCAGGCTGTACATCTATTATTGTTTCAACCAGCATAGGCAGCATGAGGGGGCTATTGCAAGATTAAAACAGTTTTGAATTGTTTATTTTGTATTGAAAAGATTTTACTTGCATTTGAAGGAATAGTTATTAGTTGTCATTAGAGTAGAACAATACATTTAATTCATTGAATTGATCACCTTTTAGAAAAAAGAAATGTCAAAATTGGGATACTGAGGTAATGCTTCTTTTGGCCACACTGTTCAGTGTGTCCTATAGCTACCAAAAGTCCATTAACTCTGCTCTGACCGAAGCTCAACTCTACCACATTAAAAATACATACATTAGCCACATCACTATACAGGCCACATGGTTCAAAGAACTTACAATACCTTGTTAGGAGGGTGTATCCTCCTGCACCAGGTGGCAGTCTCTTACCTGCTGAGTGGAATCTTCTGCGCAGATTCGACCTAAACAGTGAAAAAGTCAAAGCAGACAAAACATTGTTTAGCGCACTATTTATGTTGCTATTGCAGAACAACCTTGTTTCATTGAAGGTTACTATGACATTCTGGTTTAATATCATCCAGTGAATGGTTTTACCTGTATGAAAAGGACCAAACTGGATATTAGCTCAATCAAATGAACCAAATATTTCCAAAACTGCAATCAGTATCTCATTGCAGTATGGTATGGTACTCTGAGTATAAACAAACAAAACAAACAAAATAGGAATCTCTGTAAGATTCTAATTTCTCAAAACAGTACATGTATCTCCAATTGACTTGAATTGACATTGATTGATTGGAAAGTAAGCAGTAGGATTCTTACACTGATATTTCTCAATGTCATTATTGGGATGGGAAAGATACTTTGCCCATCCCAGTTACTTATGTTTACCTTAAGCTCTAGTTGCAACAGGAATGGCATTTTTCATTTGAAATCCCTTATGTGACGACTGGATCATCATCAAAACAATGAGTCACTTATATTTACTCAATATTCTACCTTTAGTGAAAGTGCGGCTTTTAAAAATGTTGTGACTTAAGAAATGTACTCTATAATTCAAAGTGGATTAGTGTTGTTTTCACTGCTTCAGTATGATCTAATCCTTATTTATAGCTTTTATCTTTGAAGTTTTCTGTGCAGTGACCTGGGGCAGGAGCTGTATTGCGAGACTAGAAGAGAGGATATGTTTTTATGAGCAGAGAGGAGACACAGGGGGTTAAATAGGCTGTATTTTTGGAAAGAGATTGGTCCAGAAATGGCGAGACAGAAAACACACACAGCCAGGGAGTCGTGTGAGTGGCCTGAGGTGCTGTTGAGCACACAGGTCATTTTGTAGTTAGAATTCAGGTATTGTGCGAGGTATGAGAAGAATAAGTGATCTGTTAATGTCTATATGTCTCCACATGCAACTCTTCAGTCTCTTCCACAGTTACATTATTGGTGTCTGTTGATTGAAATGCCGGGCTTGATCCGTTTGATTTTTGGATAGTCTATACCAAACAGAGAACATCTTAGGCTATAGTGTTTTGATTGCGTTATATCTTCTTGACCTTTAAGCATGCCTTTAAAACATTTCTCCTATGGGTAAAACCTTAATTACACATCATAAGCCTACAATGAAAACCGTATTCAGCCTCTCTGCATGTAACAGGTCCCAAAGAGCCTGCCTGGGGTGATGTTTGAGCACACAGGGGGTCCTTGTGGTTTGTCCCGCTGTCAATCACCCCATGCTCTGATTTCCTTTGTTGTCTGCAAGCTCAATGGCCCTCAGCAACCTGCGGCTGTCCTGTGTCTTTGTGTTACAGTGTGGGAACTTTGCAGTGCTGGTGGATCTCCACGTCCTGCCCCAGGGCGACCGGCCGGCGGACCCCAGCTGGTTTACGATGGACCAGGTCGAGGTAAAACCATGGAGAGGGTGTGAATAAGTGAGACTGAATGTAGGGCTTCTGTTTCTGGGGGGGACTTTTCAATGAGGAGCTGCAGCGTGGAATCCAAGATGACTTTGAGCCTACTGCCTTTTCTTCCTCTAGCCTTTTATTGTAGTTAAAAAAAGAAAAAGAAAAAACCTCTGACCATTTAGCACTCGTTGGCTTAATTTTACAGCCTTCTGAAGACTTCTTAGGTTACTCATGTGAACATTATTCTGAAAAATAACCAACATTTCTCATTCTTGTATCAATTTCAGGAAGTTACGGCTTTGGTCCGTGATGCTGTGGACCAGAGAGTGAAGCAGTACACAGAGTCCCTCCACAACAGGAGACTTCCCAAGCACAAGAAAGTGCTGACGCCAGCAACTGCCTTTTCTGTGAAAGGTAGCCGGTTATTTTAGAGCATAGCACAAAACAAATCCCATATTGAATCACTGTGTTTGAGTATGTCAGAATTATTTTGACAGTGTTTTGATTTTAGTTTCACATTCCTAAGAGCTCAAGTCATCAGGTTTTCCCTTTCCTTGTTTGAGGTGTGTCTGTCAACAACTTCCAAAAAACTGGATGGTTTAATCGGCCTGAGAAAACCATTATATGCTGGAGGAGATAGGACACAGTGCATGCACAGTGATAGGTCTTTTGCTCTTGGCGTGCAACATGAGAATACAATAATTGAAAAAACTTTACTTTTCAAACGAGAGGATGGTGACTTGTTGCAGCTGAGAGTGGGTGGAATAACAACAGAACTAGTCGGGACACGGTAGCTCTGCATCACGGGTCACACCCTAGGCGTAGAGTTGATACCAGTCTTAATATTGTATTGCACTGTTGAACTTGGCACGGCCACATTACACTTTTACATGTATGTCCCATAAAATCGCTAATGTTTGCGCCGCTCTGTTTAATGTGGGATCGACACACCTGTATTTGTGCATAATTGCAGGTATCTGAATGACATCAAAAACATTGCTGACTCAGGCTTCTATATGTTCTTCTTTCTTCAGTCGATCGCATAACATTCCCTCCTCCACCTGCGACACACCCCCAGCTGTGCGCTCAGGCAGACAGGTTTGTCGCAGGTAGCAGTTTGGGGCAGTTAAATTGGGCTCACTCAGCGGGATGGGGACGACTGTGAGAGTGGGATTACAGGGCAGTTGGCCTCATAAAGTTTCTCCTGTGGCTGCAGCGCTGTCTCTCACGCTAAAGCTGCGTCTATAGTTGTCCTGCCTCCTGCTCCAGAATGTGCACATGAAAGCACACGTGTGGGACTTTGTTTTCACACATAAACGTGGCTGTTTATGGCCTTCCCGGCTTTGTGTCTCGTGTCTATAAAGAGCCGTGCTGGGAGTAATACATGCATGTGCTCCTCCATAGACCAGAACAGCAAGAATCAGAAGGAGCGACGGCGTTGGAGAGATATATCCTCCCCCTGGGCTAGGTGTGAACAGGCCCACAGTGTAAAGTTACTGAAAAGCCTGACTCATATTCCCCATGATAGACTGAGGAGAGACAGACAAGTCTAATGATGGAGATCACAGACCGAGCCTGCATATACACACACTACACTACACGACCACTATCGGCATCTCACTCAAATATTCAAGTTAAAATGATTAAGCTCCTTGCAGCTTTGCCAGCGACAACCTAAGCAGGGCAACATGACTCTACAGCATGACCAACAGCTTTACCTTTGCTGAACATGAAAAACGCCACGGCAGGCCTACCCAGTACGTGTGCTGTCGTCCTATTAAAGGTCTTAAGTCGGTGTAATTACATTATCGGCCTTTTCATTGTCCCGTGTGAGGGAGGCAGCAGGGCGATGGAGGTGGAGAATGTGGCTGTGTGAAGTGAGCGAGCAGGAGCCATAAAAAGAGGAGGGCCGTGTTCAGGCTTTGGTGAGGGAAGCCCGGGCAAACCTCAAGGCGGGTATTAAGGACTGGGGTCGTCTGTTTTGCCAGCAGGTCAAACACTAACCTGCTAATCCTCTGTGGCCTCTTAGTGTGTCCTTTTGAGGAAATAAAAGCTGTGTTGGCATTCGTTTGTTTGCATCTGCAGCTTTGTGATATTTGAGAACTGATGAAAGGTGGACTAATAAGTTTCAGTCTTAATGTGTGGTGCTAGGTCTCGTAGAAGTTTCTGTATAGCCAAGTCTTCCTGATGTCCAGCCAAGGATAGCCAGATGCAGCGTTGTGTATGACAGTATATAATAGGAGGGGTTTCGTGTTGAGTCTGTGCCAGTGTGAAATCACAGAGCTTCCGCCAACAGACTGCAGTGAGAGCTGCAGAATGGCCTCAGCTGTTGGCACTTCAAATGAGCCATCAACAGCTTTTAACATTCCAAGGCCTTTCAGTGCAAGTGTTTGTGCCTGACCAATCTCTGTATCTCTGTAGCTTATTGTGTTTGTGTATGTTTCTCTCCTGAAGCTTGTGCTGCAGATATGTCGCTAGGGAGGAGAAGCTGGGCTCCGAGTTTCTCATTTGGGTTGCCAGTTTCAATGGTGAAAACTACCTAAACTCCAGCACCTGTGGCATATTCTTAATCCTTGTTTAAGCACCAGCAACTTAGTTGGCACATCCACTTTTTCACTGCTATTGATCATTTAGTAGTATACAGTAGTTACTTTCCCTTCATTTACTCTTTTTCTTTAAAGTGATTCATAGATGATCTCTTACATGTAAGATGGCGTTCTGATGGCACTCCTGATTCTTCTGACCACAGCTACCTGGCCCCTGCCACTGTTTTACTAACTCTGTTCAGCAGGTAATTTTATTTTATGAATTCGTCATATATGAATTTGCTAACCTTAAGCATACATTTTTGCTTTAAGCAGATACCATCCGTGCATGATCCACGGTGGACTGGTGCCTTCACCACGTTTCACCAACATTGCAAACGGGCAGTGTGCAAAGATAGTTTTAGATCATTGTTTATCTTTAAAATGTACTATATATTTAATAATAAGCGGCTGGTATACCATCAAAACTCACTGACAGAAGCACGTAGTACCTCTTTAGAGACATAGACTTAAGTCATTCTTCTAATAAGACAAAGGTCAGGTAGCTGTTCAAATATGTGCCATGTTTTGGCAGTAGGCTTCTGACTTTCTCAGAGATGAGACACTGACTTGGTCAGTGAATTATGTGTAAAGTGAATCCTGTGTGAACCAAGGCAAAGACTTGTTTAACTTACCTCCTGATGAATAGTTACTCATTACTGAATGTCTAATAATTGTGATGAAATATTGACCTACAATGGTTTTTTAAGACGGTAAATTGTGGCTTCCTCTTCATAATAAGCTCATAGCAATGTGATTTATTTATGTTTTTCGAGGAATGAACAGAAGGGTCATTTCCCACCCAACATCTTGGCTGTGGTCAGATGGTGTGGACAGAGAAGTGTTGTAGGGAGAGGCTGCTGCATTCTCCCCGGTAGACCGTGTTCAACCCACCCACATTTCTCAGTGCAATTACAGATGGAGAATAAGTGGATGATGGGGTCACACTGTTTGCAGAACACATTTTTGTAATTTATGTTTGATATTTGATGAGACAAGTGGTTGTGAAACAGTTCTTCATCTCCCTGAAGGTGCTTATTTTCTGCACATTTCATTAGACCTTTGCTCACATTTCTGTGCGTCTTATATTTTTATTCTGGTCACTGGGATATTGATTTTGTAGCTTGTAACAGGAGCATGCATTGGTGTCTATATGTGTGGAGTGTAAGACGAGATGACCCTTTTTACATGGATTTAGTCAACGTGTTTCAAACTGCCAAAGTACATTACCAGATGTCTCACATCTACTGTTAATATTGATTCAGCTGGATTGATCTGTTGCGCCTGAGGTTGAGTGGATTCCCTGGAGCATTGCTCTACAAAGAGAAGCTGCCTGAGGCAGATCATCACTCTGTGTGCTACCTAGAGGCTGGTCCTCGGGCACAGCTCCTCTCCTCCAGGTGCCAGGGCTCTGGGATGCAACACCTGCCAGCCTGTTCCCCTATGGTCAGGGCAGGCAGGGGAGGCATTTTCCCAGGCTCTCCAGATGAATGGTCACTAATAGCCGTGGGAGAGGGCTTTGCAAGTGCTGCACTGTGTACCACTGACTCCTCTTGGCAGCTCCATGAAGGGGCTTAAGGCGGCCTGGCCACGGCCATTGCAGAAAACACAAGTGTTGCTGGATAGCTTTACTTTTCAAAAATGTGCTTATAAATGACCATCTACCACCTCACATAATGCAGAGGATGAGTCAGAAGTTCTGCCATGTCAAAGATTTGACCTGGCTTCCAGTGGCTCGCAAGCCCCTGCCCTGATCAGTGATAAAAGCAGCTATAATGCAAGTGTGGTCATTGGAAATCACCTTTTAGTTTTTCCGAATATAGCTTTGGAATAATGGGTTTTACCTTATCATGTTCTCTAACCAGAGCTACATATTGCTGTTTTATGAATGTGGCTGTCATTTGAGGGGTGCTCTGTAAATACATGCCTATGGCACAGTTACCTGCTCTGTGTTACAGGGTGTGAGGCAGGCCAGGATTAAGGCGAGAGGGAAACAGAGACCTGTGACAGGAACAAAGGAATTCCAAGGTCTGAGCTGGAAATGTATCCTAAATCATAGAGCCCTGTCCTCCCTGCCCAGGCCCCTGCTGGGCACCCCCTTTCTGCTTTTCTGTGGAGCTGCTGTGGTTCTTTAAATCCAGTGTGTAAGCTTAGGCCTTACCCTGCAGCAGTGAACAGGACAGTCTGACTCCAGTCTAACTCCACCTATCTCTGTTTGAGATACGGCTAATGCAACATCCATTTACTCCTACCCATCAAATGCATATAACGCTTGTGCCCAGCTCTCTTTAAGTTCTCTGACTCCTCTACAGGGTCAGCTAGAACACCACCGCAGCTCAGGCCATAGCTGTCACACCACTTTGTTTCCCATATAACTTGTGTCCTGAGTCTGACTGTAGCAGAGTGTTCATGTGACTGTTTGACTTTATCACAATCTCAGAAGCAGAAGTGGTTTCATCGTGGCCTCATTGTGCACAAACTGGGTTGACCCCAAGTTTAATCATTTAGCCTTATGTATATAATAAAACATTCAAACAATATCATTAGTTTTTATAGTGTAGCTTCTTATTATTATTATTCTCTCCATATGTTGTACAGTTGCAGCAAACAGATAAAATGTGTCTCATGTATCCATTAAATACTACGCCTTCCACATTCCAAAACATTCATATAAATGTATGCAAAATATGCTGCTGACGTCATTGTTCATGTGGATTCCTTTAATTGAAAACATTTTATACTGTGATCTGTGTAGTGTCTCTGTCCCTGATTAGCGCACAGTGGTGAGAGCGTATTGTGGCTGCACTTTTGTCATCCGATTGTACTCTG